ATAGAATCAACCTGGTTTATATCAACATTTTTATTTATTTCTTGAACTCTAAAACATCTGGCACGTTGATTTTATTTAAAAATCAAGAATAAAATATTTCAATTAGTTTTCTAAATTTGTTTTTTTTTGCCTTGTCAGCAAAAAAAAGATTTTAGTGTGTTGGAAAACCCATCCAAGTCGATTTATTCGATTTTTTAGACATTAAATTGATTCAAAGTTTTGAAGAAAGATCGATTTAAATCGATTTAAAATGAATTTAAGAGAAAATCTTATGGATTCAAGTGAAATTTGGATGGGTGTTAGTGAGTCGGAAATACCATTGAAATCGATTTAAATCGGTTTTTTAGACAATTAAGTCGATATAAAATTTTCAAAAAGATCGACTTAAAATCCACTTAGGTTCGTAAAATAAACAATTTGGAATCAATTTAAATCGATCCGAAACCAATTTTTCAGTGCGGGAATAATTGAACTCGTAATCAGCAATCGTAAATCAACAATTTATCAGATATTATGATATTAATTTTGAAAAACAGCTGAAATTGCAGTCGGTGTAACCTAACCATCACAAGAGTGGTGTTGTTTATTTACGGTCAAAATTTTCAAGATTTTCGAAACTCTGATGAAATTAAATTTATTGTGTTTGATATTATGAATAGGTAATTTTCTACAGGCCAATCTGCGCATATTATGAATTTTAAGTCGATTTTAGTTCAATCTTACTCACTGCTAACAGCCTAAATTTACCAGCTAATTCTGATCAGCTAAATTTACCCTTAAATTCGAACACCTTTCCGATCTTAATACTTAAAACGTGAACACTTTTCAAAACCCAAATACTGAGAGAATTAAAAAAATAGAACAAAGAAAAAGAACAAACTTAAGTGAACTATTTCATGTGTTTAATGCTGAAGTTATTCTAAGCAACAATGTTTGTAGAGTCTACGAAGAATTAAAAAAATACGAGGTATAGTAATTTGAGATGTTGTTGAATCCGCAACTGTAAACGACTTTCACAAGTTGTTTGCCAAATCCTCATATTGTTTGCGGTTGCAGTTTCATATACAATTACGGCTTGAAAAATCTTTTTTGAAGTAAATTTGTTTTTGTGTGTCATCAGCAAGACTGTTCAACAGTTCAATCTCACATACCACAAACAGTTTGAATGCACCCTATTCAACATATCGAAAACTAAAAAAAAATCAACACCTTTTTGACCTTAAAAACTGAATTAAATTTTGTTTCTGATCTGGAATACTGAAAAAATGAACAACTTTCTTATTTTGAGTGTTAAAAAAATGAATACCTTTCCGATCCCAAACACTGAAAGAATGAAAATAAACTGAGGTAAATTATTTCATGGATTATAATGCTGCAATATTGTCAAATTTCGTTTTTCTAAAGTCTAAAGGGTACATCTGCGATTTTAGTTGAACATTTACCGAGGATTCCATTAACAATAATTGATTCATTGTTTTTAAATTCCGCATTCAATAGATAACAGTTTCAGCTATCGTTCTTAATTGTTCACACAAGGTTTTGTTCAGTTCAGTGTAATAAACAAAAACACAATCCACTTATATTTTTAGAATCTGTTTACATTTGCAGAATCCGTTCACTTTTTGCGGTAACCATGTACATTTGCTGAGCCCGAAACAACTAGCTATTTTCGCTCGTTGCCAAATTCGCGAAAAAACTAGTGTGCCAAAAAATTTAGCTTTACAGGTATTTGTAAGCGGAATCCACAAATGTTATAAAAGTGGAAACCACTCACAATTTGAAACATTTATAAAGGCGTGTTTATGTAATCCAACTTATTTCAACAAAAAAAAACATATCCAGCTTTTGGGAAAAAACTAAGTGGGAAGGACAATCAAGCGTTTTGAGCTTTGGCTTGCCACGAACAGTTCTGCTGTTTCGTCATTAGAAAAATAAACGGAATACTGGTACTTGATGTGGTTTTTTCAAAGTACAGTTTTGACATTATACCTATCTGTTTTGATTTAAAAACTTATATCATCTCTAGGGTAACAAAATCGGAAGCTTAAAATCGAATATTTATTTCACCTGCAAT